GACAGAAATTTCTTCCATAGAATAAACTGAAAAACCATAAGCATCACAAAAAAAAAAGGGTGTAGGGAACAATACCTACTTTGAAGGTTATCATAGAAACGAAGACTCTAAAGCAGAGACAGCTCAGAATTTTCTAATTTAATTTAGAATGCTAAATACGAAAGACTTTAAGATATGCTTGGGGGCCATAAGGAAGAGAATTGAAATAATAACAGTTGTGAGTGAAGGAGAGAAAATATTAGAATAGTGTATCCCAAACACAGATGGATTTCATAAACCATTGACAATAACGCAAAAGGCGACAATAGAGTAGAAGCAGAGCAGAGCGTTCTGATCTGCAAACAGAATGCCAAATATGCAGAAAAGAGGCATAGTAATCATACGTAATTAAATTTGGAAAAAAGATTCTCCTTAGATGAAAAAGGATTGGGAGAAGCTATGAAGAGCCTCTCAGGAGCAATCCCACAACCAACACAGCTGCTTATATTTGTAAATTATAAAGACCTATTGCAGACAGCTGAAAAGAAAAGCAAACTTTCATTCAAAGAAAAGAAGTGAAGGATGACCTTGGCTTTGGCAATGTAAACCATAGAGAAAGGCAAGTTCAATAGTCGAAGAGTCTATTTCTCCTTAAGAAATGAGTTTAAAGTTATTTCACCCATAAGAAAAATATAGAGTGAAAGTTCAAAAAAATGTTTTAAAGTTGCTTGGAAAAAATGTACTAATATGGTGGGATTTTTAGTCCTTTTAAAAAGAAAGCTGCTCAAATATACCATAAAAAAATAAAAAATAAACATGTTTTTGTTTATCAATTTCTAATCCAGGACACTCACTTTCAAGATTGGTCTTTAGGTATTTTATTTTGATTACTGTGTAATATTAGTAACCAAAAACACAACTTCAATGTTGTAACAAAACCTACTACATAGCAGGGTTTCTCAGCCTCAGCATTACTGACATTTGGGGCTGGATAATTCCTTGTTGTGGGGGCCTGTCCTGTGCTTTGTAGGATGTTTATCAGCATCCCTGGCTTCTACCCACTAGATGCCAGTAGCACCTCCACCCCAGTTATGATGCCAAAAATGTGTCTAAGTATTGCCAAATGCCTGTCTGGGGGGCAAAATCACCCCTGTTGAGAACCACTGTACTAAAGCAACTTTGGTAAGAAGCAGACTAACCTTTTTAGAAACGTTGTAAATGCACAAAGTTAAAATATTCAAATACTATTAAAAAATAAAAGTTTCCATTCTATCCCATCCCAGCCCATACCCCAGTGGAGTCCTGATTTAACCACTTCTATATTTTGTGTGTGTGTGTGTGAGGAAGATCAGCCCTGAGCTAACATCCATGCTAATCCTCCTCTTTTTGCTGAGGAAGACCGGCTCTGAGCTAACATCTATTGCCAATCCTCCTCCTTTTTTTTCCCCAAAGGCCCAGTAGATAGTTGTACGTCATAGTTGCACATCCTTCTAGTTGCTGTATGTGGGACGCAGCCTCAGCATGGCCGGAGAAGCAGTGCCTCAGTGAGTGCTCGGGATCCGAACCTGGGCGCCAGTAGCAGAGCGCAAGTACTTAACCGTTAAGCCACAGGGCCAGCCCTAACCACTTCTGTATTTTAATTAATTTTAACTTTTGTCAAACTTGCACATTTTAAAAAAGTCAAATAATGGTAAAAGATACAACAAAAAGACCATCGGTTTCCTTCCCCACCCTTCCCTTCATAGGCAACCACCTCCAACATTTTAACTGTTTTTTTTTTTATTCTGCTATCTCTTGAAGAATCAAAGTGAGACATTATCTGTTGGCTTCTTATTACCATAGTTGACAATTTAATATTCTTATATCCCACCCTCATTTTCCCAACAAATTCATCCTCTCTTTTTGTTGTAAACAAAGTTCAAATTATGATTATGTGGATCTGGCACTACACAGTAGTACAACAGTAGTGTGGTATAATGACATTTTCTTTCTTGTGTAACTTTTTTTCCTGCACAAAACCCTGTTTTTATTTCTAATTGCTTTGTTTTGCTCATTTGCTTCTTATTATTATTTTTGAATGCCTAAATCTTCCCAACCTCCAGTGGTCTCTCCACTTACTTAAATAGTGCAGATTATATATCAGTTCCATTTCCTTCCTGGAAATCTCTATCCTCCACCCCGCCCCACCCCCCACCCAGTTATCTGAGGTCTTTGTTCTCTAGACTCAATACATGGCTGAAGTCCTGGGACTTGTCTTCTTCATTATACCAATGATTCCTTCTTCTCTCTTGTGTTGGATCCTGGATTCCCTGAATCATGCATCCAATTTTTCCTCTATTTTTATCTATAGTAGCTTCCTTAGAAGGTGTATGAGAAGTAAAATGTTTGAGCATTTGTGTATCTGAAAAATGTCTTTATTCAACTCTAATACTTGATTTATAGTTTGTCTGGATATAGAATCCTAGGTTGAAAACCATATTCTTTTCTCAGATATTTGAAGGCATACCCCTCTCCTTTTTATTACTTTTAAGTGTAGCATACATTTGGAAAAGTGCACATATAATAAGTGTATAGATTCATGAATTTTTATAAACTGAACACACTCATGTAACCAGGACCCAGATCAAGTAAAAGAATTCTTAGAGCCGGTCTTCCTCAGCAAAAAAAGAGGAGGATTAGCACGGATGTTAGCTCAGGGCTGATCTTCCTCACAAAAAAAAGAACAAACAAACAAACAAAAAAAACGAATTCTTAGATATAACATAAAAATCAAGACCCATAAAAGAAAAAATAGATAAATTGCTTTTCATCAAAATTAAAAACTTCTGTTTGATAAAAGACCTATTAAAAGGGTGAAAGAAATAAACCAAGTTTTTCTCATTGACTAGCAGAAAATATTTGTGAATCACGTACCCAAAATATATTAAGAATTCTCTAAACCAAACAGTAAGAAAATAAGCAATCCAATCACAAAATGGACAAAATATTTGAACAGACAATTTATGCTGACGGCGAATAAACACAAAAAAATGTTCAACATTAGTCATTAGGGAAATGCAAATTCAAACCACAATGCGATACCACCATACACCTATTAGAGTGGTCAAAATAAAAATTACTGACAGTACCAAATGCTGGCAAGGGTACAGAGAAACTGGATCTCTCATTCATTGCTGGTGAGAATGTAAAATGGTAGAGCCACTCTGGAAAATTGTTTGGCAGTTTTTTTAAAAGTTAAACATACATTTACCGTATGACTCAGTAATTGGACTCCTGGGCCTGTATCCTAGAGAAATGAAAACGTAAGTTCACACAAAAATCTGTTCATGGATGTTCCTAGCAGCTTTATTTGTAATAGTTGCAAAGTGGAAACAGTCCAAATGTCTTTCAACAGATGAATGGCTAAACAAACTGTGGAACAAAATATAATTGTAATAGAATACCACTTAGCAATACAAAGAAACTATTGATAGACACAACAACTTAGTTCTATCTCAAGAACATTATGCTGAGTAGAAAAAGCCAATCTCAAAAGTGTACATGTATGCTAACTCCATTTATATGACATTCTCAAAACGACATTATAGAGATGGAGAATGGTTCAGTGGTTGCCACGAGGTAGAGGAGTGGGGAGGGTGTGGCTATAGAGGTAGCAGAAGGAGATTCCCTTGTGGTGGCAGAACGGTTCTGTATCTTGATTGTGGTGATTTAGGGGATAAAATGTCATAAAACCGTACACACAGACACACACAAACAAAAAAAGAAAGAAAAAGGAATGCATGCAAAAACTAGTGAAATCTGAGTAAGGTCTATAGTCTAGGTAATTGTATTGTATCAATGTCAATTTCCCAGTTTTGCCAATCTACTATAGTCATGATAATAGTTCTCATTGGAGAAAGCTGGTGAAGGTTACACAGGACCTCTCTGTACTATTTTTACAAGTTCTTGTGAATCTATAATCATTTCAAAATACAAAGTTTTAAAAATTAAATTTTTGTTTTTTGGTTTTTTTTGTTGTTGTTTTGGGATGATTTTTGGAAGGAGGAAAGGACTAAAAGTTCTTTACTCCACTATCTCCAAAAGTCCCCATTATTGTTTATAAATATTCTAGTCCCATACCTCACCACTTTTTTGTGTGTGTGTGAGGAAGATTGGCCCTGGGCTAACATCTGTGCTGATCTTCCTCTACTTTATATGGGACGCCGCCACAGCATGGCTTGACAAGCAGTGCATCGATGTGAACCCTCGAACCCCAGGCCACCGCAGCGAAGCGCACGCACCTAACTGCTACGCCAGCGGGCCAGCCCCTCCCCGTTACTTTTTAAAAATAGATTTGTGGCCATATTTTTTCTTGCCAATAAAACATAGAGTAGTAATATTTTTAACTGCTTGGGCTGTGTTAATTTTTATAAAAATTCAAAAGGTACAAATGAGTACACAGTGCAAAGTTCATCTCCAATTCTCTTGCTGTAGGCAATCACTGTTACCAGTTTGTAATATGTCTTGGGTATCATTCCATTGTTTTCTATGGATCACAATGTTTGTTACTAGTACTGTTACTATACTATGAGGAACTTTTTGTGGAGTCATTCATCATGGCCAGGGGGTGACAACCAGGGCCAAGAGGAGGCACCTCCTTTGTGGTACCCGGTGATGGAATTGACACGATCAGATTAATGATCTTCTCCTTTTCCACATTAACATACATAGAGACAAACTACATTTTATTATTTAGTATGGATTCAACTGCAACAATATTCTGTGGTATTAGATACACACACACACACACACACACACACACACAATGCTTAAGACTCAGAGTTGACTAGCTAATTACTGCTCTGAGATTAAACTTGCAGAACACTGTCAATAACTGTGCTTTAAATTTCTTCATGATTACATATAAAAATATAATTGTAATATATAAATGTTATAAAATATTCAAGCAACACAAATAAAGTAGTAGATGGAGTAGGTTATCCATTTTTTGTTAGTTTGTTTCTTTAAAGAGAACATCTTACCTCACTGCTGCTTACGCTTTGTAAGATTATATTTTGGTTTTTAGTAACTGTCATCATATCAGTTGAAGAGTTTGTATCATGACAAATGTCAAGCAATGATTCAGCATGTCTTTCTGACAAAAGAAACATAATAATGTGTTTTGATAAGACATCTCCAGCAATTTTCACCAATTTCACAGGAAGATGTAGCTCTAGGTTCTAAAATCAGTTCCATTTTGTCAATGATTTTCCTGAAATAGTGGTCTGGGATCCTGATGAAGCTTCAAGAGATAATTTTCACAGAAAAAGATGTAAGAACAAGAGTCCACAGAATGGATGGGTTTTTATTTGTTTTAAAAAAAAAAAAAGTTAGGCAAAGTTGCTAAGTGAAACCCCTAACAATATGCTGGAAATTACATTTGCTCTAGTTACCAAAGATAAAAGCGCTCAGCTTTACTCTAAGCACACTTCCTGTCTAGCACTTGAAGCCACATTAAATTGTCAGAGTTCTGAACACCAAACAGTGAACTCCCAGTTAGTTCCTGAGGAACATTGCTCTCATACGCATCCCCCTCTTGCTATCCTGATTCTTCAAATAAGGATGGGCTCTTGGATGAAAACTTCTTCCTCTTCCAATGGCTCTTCCATTTATCTCGCAACTGAAGCAAAATTGAACAAGTGATCTATACTCAGACCCTTCATTTCTTCACTATATTTTCCTTCTTTACTCTGCTATCTATCCTGTCTCTATCCTGCCATTGAAACTTCTCACTTCCGTACCACATTTGCCTTGTAACCTCTTTTCCAATTTGACAGTTTCCCACTCCTTCCTTCTTGCAACTCTCTCCCAATTCTCCTCTCTCTCTCTCTCTCTCTATCTCTCTCTCTCAGAGAGAGAGCATTCTCCTATTTTGTGGATTATATGTCCATCTCCCCACTTCCCAGGTCCGAAACTTAGGAATCATGTTTGACTCAACTCTCTCAACTTTTGTCTCTGTGTCTCCTCTATCAGCCTTACATCAGTAAGTTCTGCGAATTCTTCTTTCAAATATCTCTGCGACTCACCACACCCAGCACCTTTCAGGCCCACTGCCATACCACACCCAAGGACTCTTTTTCTGGCGCTTATCACCACACACAGGCACTTCTATAGTTTCTCAATAGAGTTCCCTGCCATGAGTCTTGTCCTTTGAATCCATTCTACACACTAAGAATAGGTTAATTTTCCTAAAACATGGCTTTCTTCATTCCCTGGCTTAAAATTCTTTAGTGACTCTATTTCACTGAAAAAAAAAGTATGTCCTTCAGCCTGACATTTAATGGGTCCTCAATGGACCCAGTTTCTTTATGTATCTGATCTCATGTGTTCCTTTTTCCTGACATGAACTTTCGGTTCTAGTCTCCTGTTTGCCCCTGGGATAAATCACGCTTGCTTACAGCATAGTGCCTCTGTTCCACAAGATCCAATCCCATCGTTTTTCAAGGACCAGATTGAGTCTCATCTCTTCATGAAAATTTCTTAGGTACAGCCTTGCTCCCTGCCCAGAAACTTCAAATAAAAGCCAACCAAACAATAAAGTCAAGCAGCTTCCCAAAGTCACACATTACTCAGTGGCACTATTTCATTACAGTTTTCTCTGTGACTGTTTCTATGTTTTTGCTCAGACTCCTTTCTCCCCACCTATATCAAATCTTCTCTCTTCTTCTCTTCCTTCCATATCTTGTCCAGCATTCGAAAACCACTGGAAGTCCCTCTTTCCCTTTTAAATTCACAACAAGGTCTTTCTCCTCTGACTTATGTAATGTGTCCCGGACCACACTGAACACTCTCAAAAGTTTGGACCATGTCTTAGACTCTTCCCATCCCTCAAAGCACCTAGTTGTGGGCCTTATCCAGAGTCACTGCTCAATAAATAGTTGTTGGCTTGATTTCTTTAAATGGATCTATTAAATACATGTAGAAAAAGAAAGATTTCTAATAGGGCTTTTATAGTTGGGGAATTTTGAAAGGAGAATAGAAATATTTACCTGGTTTTGGCATAGAATTCATTAGAATGTCCAATAACTGCTGTTTCCTAAAACTCTCTATTTGTGACACATAATGTATTGCTGATTTTCCACTAAAATCACAGAGTTTAGGATCTCTAGGAAGAACAGAATCAAACATCAAAGATTATTTAGTCAAATCTGTTAAAAAAGAAAACCAATATGAGAGGAAAAACATTGACATCAAATAAATAAAAGTCATCTTATATAGTTTGGGGACAACAATAATGACTTCAAAATGTATGAGATAGAGAGTGACAAGTTTTCAAGACTTAAATAAAAGGAATATGCTGTATATATTAATCACACTCCCATTCTAAAAACATTCTAATATTTGCAGAAAATTTCCCACTTTAAACAAAAATTTTCATAACTCTTTAATGATGCATACATCAAGTAAAGATAAAAACATCTTGATAAACTATTGTCTTATCACAAATAGCTGGCTTGATTAGTTTTTTTCTTTCCAATGATTTAGCTAACTGCTTACTTTCTTGATATTTCTTTTTCTAATGCTAACAGCTAGCAGTTTTATCATTCAAAATAGTAGAATGGCATAGAATCTCTCTTTAAAATTAAGCTCATATGCTTATTTCATAGGCTATTGGTTGAGTGGAGACATCTTGTCATAAAACCCCTCTCTGAGTGATCTTTTTGGTCCTTTGCCTTGCCCTGTTGTTGTTAAACCCAACTGGCTGATCGTAGGGCTCCTTGCAACACCACGAATGTCCTCTCTATGCTGTAGTGCATCCTAGGATTAGACGTCAGCTCAGAGATATGCAGAGGTTAAATGAGAGAACACTATTAACAGATTATGATGAGGGAAACAATGATAAAACTTGCTTCCTTAGTCATATTCTGGTCAAGGAGCAAACCGATCATGTTCTCTCACCTAAAACCTTTGAATTTGAATCTCTTTATTGCTATGGGACAGAGTAATGTTTTATGACTTGCAACAATATTCTCTTATTCATCAAAGGTCATGATTCAAAAGAAATAGCATAGGACCAAGAATCAGGGGACTGCTACTACCTTGATATGTGGCCTTAAGCAAGTCACTTAACTCATTGGGACCTCAATTTGCACAGCTGCCTTCATTAGTGTTTTTCCATGTGGCATCATTTGATTTCCAGTATTCTGGACCCCACTCCAGGCCTAGTGAACACCATCTCTGGGGTGGTGTCCAGTAATCTTCACTTTTAACCATCTCCCCAACTGTTTCTTAACCCCGAAGTCTGAAGTAGATTCGAACTTCCATCTTCATATTCTCGACTATACTTTTGTTATTGAAGCTCTCTCTTCCTTGTTTTTTCCCAAAACAAAATCCACATGAAATACTGAGAAAGAACTTGGGCCATCTGTTCTTATTCGATGACAAGACATCTAGGTAACAAACACTATTAGGAAACTGTAATTCTAACACGAGAGATGGCTTATTAACCCTCTGATTAAAAAAAAAGTTAGTTTTTACTTCCCCGCCTCCTAAAAGAGCATGTTGGCTTATAGTAGTTTTTAGATAACTGGAAATCACTACTATAAATTGCTTTTGTTAATTGACAATGCTTTCTGAAATAATTAGTAACATCTTGGGGGTAGGGAGCTGCATACTCAAGAATTATTTAACATTCCCAGTAACTACCAAAGAATAAGTATTTAAGCAAATAAAGCAAAGGGCCAATATCATGAGAATAATGGATAGCAATGTCTAACATCTGTACATCACTTTGCAACAGCAAAGCCCCTTTTATGAACATGCATGTGCATTTAACACATATAATTAAATAGCAATCTATATGTCTAGGTTTACAAATGACTTCCATAAATAACAATGGCATAGACGCCCTTCCATTGGTGCCGACTGACCACTCATACTCACGCGCGATGCCTGAGGAGCTCAGACAGAACCTCTGCAGGTCTGTAGACTGTTAACATATCAAGACTCTCAAAGAGGTCCACATCTCTCACAGCCAGCATCAGAGGGGTCAAGCCATGTTGGTTTGGGAAATTTATATCCAGGAACTCTTCAGATGCCTTTAAAAACATGAAGCTTTGTTTCTGTTATGTTTTTACTGCATAGCTGTTTGTACCAATCCTTGCATTTTCATTGCTTGGCCAAATTTTCATTTTAACTTCAATACATTCTTTCTCAATATCTATGTCAAGACAGAGCTGATAAATTGAAAGAACACAGGCCTGGGTTTGGATTTTAGCTCCTTAAGCTGGTTATTCAACCTTCCTGACAGGGATGTATCAAGGACACTCTGCTAAAAGGTAACAAAATCACCTTGATAAAATAAGCGGCACCCAGTTAAGCAATGAAAAATTTTCATTTGAGACAAAATTATATTAAAAAATTATTTGATATTTATCTGAAATTCTAATTTAACTGAGTGTCCTGCATTTTTATTTGCAAAATCCGGCAACCCTACTCACTGACCTTCAGAGTTCTCAGCTGTAAAGTAGGAATAATACAGTCTTCCTGGCAGAGTTGTTTTGATGATTGGAGCCAAAATATGAAAACCACTGAGCAGAGTGTTTGACACATGCTCAATAAACATTTTCGGAATGAATGAATGATTTATAATAATAAGGCAGCTCATTTAACTGTAGTATTTATATAGTCAAATGGAGGTGGATATACAGATGCTATTTGTTGTCTTAATGAAAGTAAAATTTAATTTGGATAATTCAGAACAGAAAAGCTACTGGAAGGCCAAATTACCCAAATTGTTTATTTTATAAACCAAAGTAACTCACTAATTTCCATCTCTATTTCACTTTATGCCATGTCAATATAATCAGTGTCTCTACCTCAGTTTCTCCAGGGACAAACTAGAGATAATGATATTACCTCAGAGGGGCACTGTGGGAATTAATTAGTTAATATTTTTTTCAGTCTCTGAAAAGAAACCACCTCTTATATCAATGTTTATTATGAGTCAGAACCAACATGAAAGTTTTGAGCTGAGAATAGTCTTGCGATAGCACATTAATTCAGCATCTGTTGATTAAGCTCTGGATCCAGTTACAGGCACCATTTTCTTAAAACTTGGCTGCTAATCATTAGGGGTGAAAAATGTGGTTATGAAAAAAGACACTGGATTACAAAAACCACTGTTGCAAATACCATTAAAATAAAATTTAGTGTCTTTCAAACAAATTTCTAAGCCTCAGTTTATGATGTATGGCAATTTTAGACAGTCGTGTAGTACAACAAAAGAATTTAGAGTCCTTTGGATTTTGTTGTGTATTTCCTCGAATTCTAGGTGACCAGAATATCGTTCACTTTTTCTTTATCTGTTTGTGTCTCCACCATCAGGGAGTGGAAGAAACTGTTTCCTAGCAGCAATTGATTTTCTTTCAGTTGGAAGGTCATGTGATCTGACAGTGTCTCTGAAGATAAATGCCAAGAGTAGGCAGTTGCTAGTCACCAATAATTAATGTCCTCAGTTATGCATATGGTTTTGCAAGTTACTTTGGGAAAGAGTATCTATGGGTAGAAAATCTAAACAAGAAGATTAACACCCCAAGAAGATAGCATTTAAAAAATGTACCCTCAACTCCTTTAGTAACAGCTAAATATTATGCAAAGCATAGGCTCTCTGATTCCCTTTTCAGGGTAAAGATAATAACTGCAGCTGCTCCAATGGGATCTAAACAGCAATTGCACAAATGGCAATGATGTCAAGGGAACTCTTCTGAGCAAGTTGGCAGTGGTTCTCTGGGGCATCCTGAGGGCACATCATTTCCCAGGGATGTTGTGTGACTTCTTCTAGCATCCAGCTGGAGGAAGGTAGAAATAGGCTGCTGCTGTGTTCTTTTATTATCTTGTTTTCCACCTCAGTGTCCTGTTTGATTCTGTTTCTTTCTCACATTTCCTGCCTGAAACTTTCTGGAACTGCATTTGAAAAGAGCTTAGTTTTCTTTAAAAGGAGTCGTAAAGTCTTTAAAAGCCCTTCTTACCACCCACCCCTCCACCCAAAGGCAGAAGCAAACATCAGTTTAACTGACCAGCAAGTGTTGAAGTTGTTCAAGATCACCTTGCCATGAACTTTGTAGAAGTTGCATTTGGGGAGCCTGGATTCCATTGATGTCCAAGAGTTGTCTTCGAACATCACAATTAGCCACATGGACCGCGGTTTGATTACTATAATTGCAAAGGGTGATATCTGCTCCCTTTTCCAGAAGAAATCCAACAACCTGCAACACCACAACATTCTTATTTAGCATCTTGGAGTACCAACAGTGTCCTCAAGGCTGGGTAGAAAACGTACTTAGACATGGCTCTGATTCATGATATAGGAAAGAAGAATAAGAGGGGCATACCAATTAAGGATTTATTTGGATGCATGTGACTGCTATTTACCTTTTTTAAATTTGGGAAACAAAAATATCCATGATATGGATGATTGGATGGATA